TTAACAACAACAAAAAAGCACTGCATATTGGTATGAAAATACATAGATCAGAAGGCATTAGATTGTCTATCAAACATTTATCATTGTTCGGCTAACAAAATACCGTAGTTCTCACTGGGATTGTGTTAATTCATTTTTAATGTTGTGATTGTATGACATGCATTTGTCTGAATTTTCCTGTTGAGCCCATTTTTGTATAAAGTGGCATATAAATTTGTTAATTAAATTAATACCACCACCACCAGGACTGCCTGTTTCCAGTTTCATGACACACAGAGAGAAATTAGGAAGCCCATGCCTTGGAAACACTGTTATGGAAAGCAAATGGCGAAGTTTGCAAATATCTGCTTAATTTATTCTGTTGACAGAATCTGGATTCTTTTCAATTGGCAAGTGGGGAAGCGAGGGAGTACAGGGTCTATGGCACCTAGGGTTGCCATATTTCAAAAAGTGAAAATCCAGACACGAAAACACACACATAAAAATGAAACTTTTGAGCTATTTTTAAGGGAAATCGCCAAAAACGGCACTGTCAACATGGGTTGCCATGCGTCTGGGTTTTCCCGGACATTTCCACCCAGACACTGGGAAATTCCATACGTATGACAACCCTAATAGCACCTTTAACCTCCCTGCGATGCATACAAATAACAGAAAATAATATAATGCAGTTTATAAACCAATGCAGCACTTGAATGAAGTGTAGAAATGAAAGGCTATGTACACATTAGTGGCTTAAAACACAGTGAGGCTGTTTCCCCCTCCTGCTTTTCAAGTTGCATTTTTATGTTGCTGTTTCCAACAGAGAGAGGGCATAAGTGTTTTTAACCCAATGCACATTGCCCAGTTTGTTTTCCCCCAGCTGTCACACACCCACACCATTTCTATTGCACAAAGCTGGCATCGTCACATGTGCACCAGATGTCTCAAGTGCACACCTCAACTTAACCGTGGCTTACATTTTCAAATCAAATGGCAGCTGGCTCGAGGGGAAATGAAGTATTTCAGGATACACATAGGGATTGTGGCTAAGGTCATGTGGGTCATGTGTGCTCTGCTCGAAACACCAGCAGTGGGAATACACTGCACCTGGAGCAAAGGCTTGTGTGCGCACAGCCTAAGTCAGACTCTTGCACTGTGGAGGTGTGGAAATGCACGAGTGGGGTGGGGACACAGCATGCTCCTGGCCTCCATGTGCTCAAGTTGTTTTGTTTTTTTGCACAGGGACCTATGTGAGTCCTATGCTGCAGAGGGAGGAGGAGGCAATACAGTCATACCACATGTTACGTTTGCTTCATGATACATTTTTTGAGGTTGCGTCCTGCGGCAACCCGGAAGTACCGGAAAGGGTTACTTCCGGGTTTCGCCGCTCGCGCATGTGCAGACCCGCAAAACGATGTCACGCGCATGTGCAGAAGTGGCGAATCGCAACCCGCACGTGATGCACCGCTGCTGGTTGCTTTCTGCTCATGTTGCGAATGGGCCTCCGGACTGGATCCTGTTTGCAACCAGAGGTACCACTGTATCCGGAAACAAGCAGAGAAGGCAGTGAGCTCTCCTTGCAGGCACAGATCTGCCACGCCTCCTAGCTATCTTGAGCCCTCTGCCTGAGACGACAACCTCACTGGGCCTCATGGGCCGGCTGGCCTTGAATATGACGGCACATTCTCCTCTGATTATGTTAAATGTTAAAAGAAGTATGTTAAGAGCAATATATCACCTTTCAAGACCAGAAAGCAGTAATGGCCTGTACTTGATCAGAGAATAACAGAACTGTAGAGTTGGATGGTGCCCTGAGGATCATCTAGCCCAACCCCACCCCCCAACCCCCGGCGATGCAGGAATATAGGGATCCCATACAGGGATCAAACCTGCAGCCTTGGCATCATCAGTATACCATGCTCTGACTAACTGAACCAGCCATTCACTCTAAAGCTGTACAATACAAAGCTGCCATCAAAACAGGATGGTGGAAATTCTGCACAATAAGATCAGGGATAGAGAACCAGCATCCCTTCAGATGTTGCTGGACAACAATTTCCATAATCGCTGACCTTTGGCCTCTATGGCTGGGGCTGATGGGAGTTGGAGTCCAACAAGATCTGGAGGGTACTAGGCTCCCTATCCCTGCAATCCCTCTAAAGATGCCTCCACTCCATTATATAACTGCAATACTTAAACATTTACTGCTAGAGAAAGACTCGCAAAGCTTGGCCAAACCAGCAGTTGAGCAATTCCTCCCATCAGAGTGTTATTTGGCTGAAGGATGGGGAAGACAATTTGCAGAGAGGATCAGAGGCCAGAGACAAATTCTGGAAGGAGGGAGAGGAAATGGGGCAGATAGTGGAAATCTGATGCAGTTCAACTTGCCAGTAAACCATGGTGATGGGTGGATAAGAGTCTGTTTCCCAATTCCGGGAGTTATTTTGGCACAGCAAGGTTCACATTCCAACTTCTGATGAAGAGTTATGAGATAAAGGAAAACGTACTGAGCGCATGTTTATCTCTAGGCAAAGTCCAAGAAAAGAAGTGCCAAGGGAAGGAAGGAAATTAAACACACAGCTGATGTTGGTTATGCAAAAAAAAGGTATCAGACATGAGTAATACATGGAGGATACAAGGACCAGGTGTTTAAGTGAGGCAGGAGGAAAAACCCACAAGTTTCATCTACGTACATGAGTGTGAAACAAATACCAACTTGTCTTAAGCTAAATGTGGGAAACCGAAACACTGTGACCTCCCAGGAGACCCTCAAGGCTTGGTCCACACATTATGATAAAGAGGAGGAAGTGCTCTGCTTCGCTGTTCAGACAATACGCCATATCAGAGGCACATTTCCAGGCTCAAAGGTCACAGGGGTTACTACTGTGCTGCCATGATCCAGAATTTCCCAATTTGTACGTTACATTGACTTACGACAGAATCCATTTGGTAAGGACATAAGAAGAGCCTGCTGGATCAAGCCAGTAGCCCATCTACAGTCAAGCACCACAGGAGCCAACCAGATGCCTGGAGAAAACCTGCAAGCAGGATTCAAGCACAAGAACCCTCTCCCCTCCAGTGTTTTCAAGCAACTGGCAATGACAGAAAGAGCTGCTGGGAGTGGGAAGACGGTGTGTGCCAATAGGCTTTCTCTCACTGAATTGTGAAACTGAATCGGGCACAAAGTCCTGTGGTTCAGACTGCCACAACAACAGCCACAGTTTGCTGGAGATCTCTGGGGACTTCCAGAAGGTCAGTATTCTTGGGTGGGAATCTATCACATACCCTTTCTGAGTGTTTATCATCATCATCATCCTCATTATGATTATCAACATCATTGCCCTCCACATATGTCCCAAGACAATGTACAAAATATAACAAAGGCAGACTAAAATATAATTAACAGATTATAAAAACAGCTTTTTAAAAATTGCAGAACATTACACCCCACTCCATTAGCCATAAGTGTATTAAGGCTGCTATCCTGTGCACACTTTCCTAGGAGTAACCATCATTTGACACAGTCAGACTCAATTTCCATGCAGACATGCATAGGATTGGGCTGTAAACCTCAGACTGCTTTTTAAGTTTTGGTTTTCTAAAAAAGAGATTCATGACACCCTTTACCCCGCATGCTTCTCAGTAAAAACAGTATTTCCTTTCCATAACAGCTACGGAAAGTCCTGCTTCCATTAGTGGCACAGGGGCTGACACAGAAGCCAGATCTCCCCAGAGAAGGCTGGTGCTCTTCATAAGGGTAAAGGAGAAGCAACTACACCATTCAGGTTTGGTCTCATTCAGGTTTCATTCAGGTTTGGTCTACTTGTTATATCTGGTCTACATGGAACTGTCCATTTGGGCAATGTAAGTTGTCAATGAAATTAGTTAACAAGGATACACACACACACACACACACACACACACACACACACACACACCCTATGGTTAACGCTGTATGTGAGTTCAGCCCCGTGTGGTATGGGGTAATGGGCGTTTTTCCTTTTTTGTGTGTGTATTACACAAAACCAAATATTTTTTTTAAAAAAGAGAGAGAGTTCAGCCAGTTGGCATAGAGGCAACCCAAATTCAGAGATCCACTTTCTTCTTTGTTTGCTACAACCAGGGAGCAGTTATTACGAATCTGCCCTCCTGTAAATGGGAGAGGGAGGTTTGTGGGGGGATTAAGGAAACAGTACAGTATTCCTTTTCTTCCACGCATTTTGCGTTTGAGTTCTCTCTCTCTCTCTCTCTCTCTCTCTCACACACACACACACACACACACGAACCCCTTAATTGCTTTGCTGCCTGAAATTCCTCCAGGCTGATTACGGCGAGATGGATTTTCAGCTATGGTGTTTTAGCCTTGATGTGGGTGTGGGTGTTTAATACAATGTCCGAACTGTTGGCTTTTGCCTATATGCAGAACAGCCACTGCGCTGGATTGTTAGGCTGAAAAACGTTCGGAACACGCACCTGACAGGAAAAAGCCATGACATAAAACAAGGGAATTCTAGTTCGGCCCCCCTCTGCACCCCAGTCACTTCAGTGACCATGGGGAAATAAACAGGGCCAGGATGAGGACTTCTCCCCGCTTTCCTTCCAAGAGGGGGCTTCGAACCAACAGCCAGCAATGCTGCACTTAAGCGGTCGGACTCAGGCGGCATCCCCGGCGCGGCGGCCCCGAGGTCGCCCTTGGTTGTCCCCGGCCGGCAGCACCCGCAAACTCAGGGGCTAGCGAGCCTGGCAAGGGAGGCCCGCCCGCCTAGCAGCTGCCAGAAGCAGCCGGCATGGGCTCGGAAAGAGCAGCCTTCAAGCGCACGGAGCCTGGCGCTTTTACGCATCCCCAGCGCCCGCTCCTTTGCTGGCCACCGGGGCGGGAGGCGCGCCAGGGAGCCTCCGGCTGCAGCCAAGAGACAAATCACGTCCTTCCCGCACGCCCGAGCTTCCCTTTCTTTTGCTCGGTTACTGTACATCCACTCCACCTCCCCCCCCCTCTTTCTGCTGCAGTTCTGCTTTACCTTGAAGCCCAAGGCTGGGGCGGGGGTGTGGTGCATGCGCAGCTGGCTGCAGCTGCCTCCTTTCATTCATTAAAAAAAAAGGCAGCCCCAGCCTACCATCCATCCTTAACTTGCAACTAGTTCCCTTCCGGCCCCCCATTCATGAATGAGAGCGGAGCATGCGCTTTGGCCCTGCAATGCCCACCCATTCATAGAATTGAGAGGACGGGCATGCGCAGACGAGGGCCTTTCCCTCCCATTCATAAAATAGCCATTTTCCCAGGCAGCAGTTGTTGCAATAGCGAGGCGAAGCGGAGGGGGAAGCGACGGCTGCTGCTGCTGCTGCTGCTGCTGCTGCTGACAGCGCAGCACTTGTAAGTCGCTCCCGGAGAAGCCAGGGGTGCTCCGTGCCAAACTGCCCCCCTTGCACGCCCAGCTCGCGAACTGTCTCGGATTTAGGATTAACTCGCCTGTTGAGAGATGATCTTGGCTGGATTATTTCAAGTAAGTAAGGAATTTCATCTTTGTGGATTTAAATGCACAGGGTGAAAGAGGGGGGAAATAATAATGCCCCGTAGAGGAAACATTTTGCTCCCTTTCCTGGTTGACTTTTCCTGACCTTCTACGAGGAAGGCGTGTGTCGCTCAGCCAAAATCGACCCACGTCTCTCTCTCTCTCTCTCTCTCTCTCTCTCTCTCTCTCCTTTTTCTTTTTAAAAAATAAATCCAAGTATCTCATATATATGTATATGAATGATATCTGTGATCTGATGGTGATGATTGTACAATTTGGCTTGGCCATCGCCTGCTCTTCCCGTTGCCATCTGCGTTTGGGCATTTAGATAAGGTATGAGTGGACGTTGTGATCCGTCTTAGAATTCTCTTCTTCTTAAATAAAATAAAATCTTCTAGCCGCCCCCGCTTTCCCGGTTGAGGGGGAGTTTGTCCCTTGCTCGTGAGTGCCAGAGTGGTGGCGAGGGAACCTTTCGCTGGGCAAGGGCTGGCGGAGCCCACGCGCCCCCGGCTTGACAAACGCAGCTGCCCCTGAGCGCCTTGCCGAAGGCGCTCTTCGCCTCCTTCCTCCTGCGCCTCTGCCTCGCCGGGCTGCGCAGTGGCTCCGGAGCCTCCTCTCTCTCTCTCTCTCCATAATAGGGCACTTTAGAAAGGCGAGCCGCTGGAGTGTCGGCTCCTGGCTGCCTGACCTTTGCTCCCTCGCGTTTTATTTCATGCAACAGCCCTGCAACGACGACTACGCCTCTCTTCCTCCCACCCCACTCCCCACCGATTATTTTTTTGCTATTTTAAAGCCTCACTTCACCTTTCTGTCCATCTTATGGTGTTGAACTTGGAGAGAAACGGGGGATCAGATCTGGAATAAAACTGCGCAGGTTGGGTGCGCCAAGGGGCTCTCTCCTGGACTTGTGCGCAGCGAACCCGGAGTGTGTGTGTGCATGTGGAGGGGAGAAAAGGAGTATGCAGAAATAAAATAGCGCCTGGCTCTCTTGCTCAGGGCCTTCTCCACCTATGGCGTAGTACAGATCTATAGGCGAGGCTGGCGTTTGTGCTGGAAGCAGCCGTGGCGTCACAGCGCCTGGCAAACCGAGAGGAGCCTAGAACCCCTCGCAGATTCTGGCCGCCCAGGACCTCGAAGGCAGCAGCCCTGGTTGCTAGCGAGGAGGGCGAGCCGGCCTGTAGAGCTTGTCAGTGGGCGTGCAGAAGGGCATCACCGGGATGAATGCTACAGGGAGGGAGGGAGGGAGGAGAGGGGAGGAAATCAATCTCTTCTCTTCTCTCTTCTCCCCCTCCCCACCCTCATTTTTTTTCCTTGAGAGGAGAGCATGCAATGCATTGCCAGTGAGAGCCTGACGCGCCTGCAACCCAACCTTCCCATCGGGCCTGAAATGTCAATGTCAAAATCTCCTCTTGCTAAACTGGGAGCGGGGGGGGATAAAGGACGGTTTGCTCAGCTGATTTCCGCTCTGAGGTGATTTTGTTAGAGAGCCTCTTTTTAGTATCTCCGAAGGATTTCGACAGAGAAAATAATTCGCAAGGGAAAGCCAGCTGTTTGCAGAGATTTCCAAGTGGGCTTCAAAGCTCTCCTTCCTCTCCCTCTCAGCCTTAATCAGCATGTTCAATATTTAACATAGCTTCCTTGATGTGTTTAAAAGTAGTGTCAGCTTGTGGACTGAATGGCCATGATCTCCACCACTGGTTTCCTTTTCACCAACCCACTTGTCTTCCAAACACACACACACTCACACACATATATATGTCTGGTGAGGGAGAGGCAGTTCTCAGGTTCTTGGAACCCTTCTGAGGATGTCTCCATTTGATAAATGCGCTGCTTTCTACAGCCTGCTGCGTCCCATTCATACTAGGAGCCCTAGTTTGATATTGCCACGTTAAATAAAAGCACCTTTTAAAAGGAATGTCTCCTTCCCTGGAAGGGAAAACCAAACCTGTGGCTAATCTTTGAAAGCATAAAAAACAAAAGTGTTCCTATTGAGTAATGACTAACTCTGTTTATGCAGGATGATGTTATCTTCGGAAGCCTGTTAGCATCGGGCTTCATAAAATGGCAGCAAGGAGCCTTTTTTCTCCCATTACAATATCTAGTTTTGCTCAAGTCTGGCTCAAATTGAGCATAAAATTCATTAGAGGTATTGAGAGCACCATTTACCAGGCCTGCATTCTCGGTAGATTTGCCTCTCGCTTTTGACAGATGGGAGTGTGGAGGTTGTGGAAACCTTAAAAGGCTGCTGGAGGTTTGATCCCAAACACACTTACTCAGAAGTAAGAACCACTGAGTTCAATGTGCCCGGTAAGCGTGCTTAGGATTGTGTACTTAGCGCAGTTTCCTGTACTTTGGCATCTCAATAATTAAAAGTTTAAACAAAACGAAACCTCAGAGATGTTTGCCAATGTGAAATCAGGTATTGCTTGGTGCGTATATTAGAGGCCAAAAAAAAGGAGTTCCCAGAGATTTGGATATCCTGCCAAAAAAAAAGGTCTAGCCATGTTAGAGCTGAAATAATGCAGAGTTGGCCATGATTCTCCAAAAGAGTTGTTCAGTCACTTCAGGATTTCACAATCGCCAGCAACCATTTGATGTCTTGCGTTGAGCACTCAGGGGCCTTTTCTCAAGGACCTCATCCTTCTGGTCTTGCTTATTTGTTTAGTTTCTCTCCGAGAAGCCAAGGCTGCTGGGCACAAGGACCACTCGATTCCCTTGATTTAGCAGGGCTTGGAAAGTGCAAAAATGGTTGATGAAGAAATCTGATACTAGTTTGCTTTACTGTAGGGTGTTGTTTAGACCTGGTAAAATACGTGGGGTTGGAAGCAAACCTTTTAATGCACACCTGCTGATATGTTTCAAGAAAATGCTTTAATGTAGCTTTATAGTCTTTTTAACACTCTGGGATGTTTTGTGAAGGTGGATGCTCTATTTTCCTCCCAGCCTCCCTTCCCCTTATCCCATAGTGCTTACATGTAATTTGAGTCTTGTTAACAGTGGCTCCTTTCCTACTGCTGGCCTGGTCAGTTCCTGAGAATTTGCTGCTTCCTTCCAGTGGAAGGTGAGCTGAGAAATCCTTCTGATGCCCTTTAGGGTTTTCCTGCTGTGTGGTTCAGTTTTCTGCCCTTTTAATAGTCGTGTTTCAGCTTTCAAGCTCCTGTCCTCACAGTTGGAACTAGTAAAGCTAGAAGCGTCACCAGACAACACACCACAGTGTAGTTCCAGGTTGACTTTTTGGTCCGATTCAGCAGGGGCCATCTCCTCCTTAAAGGTGCATTCGCCTGGCAACTGGAAAAACAATAACTGCATGCAGCGGTATAACTCATCAGAGTTGGGAGGGATCTTGAAGGTCATCCAGCCTAACCCCCTGCTCTGTGCAGCCTGCAACTACAGCATCTCTGACAGTTGACCTTCTAGGTTCTTCCTTAAAAACCTCCAGAAATGGAGAGTCCACCGCCAGCTCTTGGCAAGAGGACATTTCTCCTAAGCTTTCACCGAAATCTCTTCCTATTACCATTTGGGTTAGCAGAGTCTCCTCCATCTTCCGCATGCCAGCCCTCCAGGGATATAGAGATGGCTATCATGTCTCCCCTTAATCTTCTCTTTCCCCAGGCTAACTAGCTCCAGCTCTCCAACTGTTCCTCATAGCAGTGTTTCCCAACCACTGTTCCGCGGCACACTAGTGTGCCGCGAGATGTTGCCTGGTGTGCCACGGGAAAAATTAAAAAATTGAAAGTTTTTTTTTTAAAGTCAAATTTTGATTGGGGCGCCGTCACTAGATGACCCCTGGGGTTCCCTCCCTCCTCCGCTCTGCGCCTCCCTCCTCCTCCTCCTCCGGGGAGGCCCTTCCTGGCTCTCGGCCAAGGCTTGGCGGCTGCCACTCACTCACTCGCTCGCCCACCCGTCCCTCCATCCCTGCACCCGGCCTCTCCCCCTCCGTCCCCGGCATGGGGGCTGCCGGGATCCGTAGTCCCCTCGCCCTTGGGCTCCGCGCCCGCGCGGGGTGCACGAGCTACGTTTCCCAGCGTGGCCTGGCGGGCCGGGCGTTTTGTTTGAAGCGCTCTTCTCCCGGCCATGGAATGAGCGCGGCGGCGGCGGCCGGGCGGGCAGGGGCTCTTCTGCGCAGACCCCGCACAGCCTGCCTGCGCCCCCGCGGCAGGATGGAGCCCGGGGATCCCCGCGGAGGCGGAGCGGCGGAGGCGGAGGCTGCCCCCCAGGTAGGGCTGCGTCGGGGGGTTTTTATTTTTGCAATGCTGCATCCGCGCCGGAGGGGACGCATCGGACCGCGGGGAGACCCCTTGGCGGGCGTGCAAGGCAATGCATGCGTGCAGGCGTTGCATGGAGTGCAGTGCAATGCAATGGCAACGCGGCGCCCTGCATGTATGCATGCAACTTCCACTGGCGCTCCGGACTTGGCAGGTGAGGGGGGTCCCCAGTGGGCGGCAGAGAGAGCCGGGAGGGCGAAGGGGAGCCGGGGGGAGCAGCGCTGCTCCCCGAGCCGAGCCCGGGGGGAAACTTCGGTGTCGTTGCGCCGGGTGTTGGAAGGGGAGGCTGGCGGGGGCCCCTCACCTGCAAAACCTGGTCGCCTCTCATATATTTCGTGCATTGCATTCATCGCCCGCTTTCTCCTCCAAGGAGCTCCCGGGCGCGCGCGTGGTTCTCCCGGTGTTATCCTCGCAACAACAGCCCTGCGAGGTGGGTCAGGCGAGTGGCCCAAGGGAGCACCCAGGGATTGTCCTGGCCAGGTGGGGTGATTTGAACCCTGCTCTCTGCCCGGTCTTCGTCCTCATTTAGCCCCCACATGTGCATGACTGTGCATGACTGAGGTTTTCCCCCCTCGTCTTGGCTATGGTGTGAGTCTGTGCTGTTAATTAATGGGGTTCTGCCTTCGGAGAAGATGAGCCAGCCCTCAAGGAGGTGATTATGTAATTTGCTAGCAATTCATGTCCCTCCCGGCGTGACGCTGTGCGCTGACGTCACGGGGCTGTAAT